TCGATATTTTGGAGTTTCGAGGTGGAAATTCACAGGAATTGCGCTGACTCCTAATTTCTCCCGTAACATGCCCTCGAGCATAAAAAACAAGTTAACAAGTTTTCCTTCTTATATTTAACAGACATTGAAATGTTATACTACACCGTGAGCATTCACTGCCCTCATCAGCTGCATTGCTTTAACTTTGCAAAAGACAGATTTTATTCAGGAATTAGATCATCATGTCCATCAACGTCTGCGAGGTTTGGGGGGGAAAAGCTGAGCGTGTTGTTGTGCGTGTTCTAACCGAACATCAGATCTGTATGCGTCTATAAACCCTACAGCAGGCAGAGCACTTTAATTTGCACCTCACAGCAGAACGGGGAAGGCCCCATCAAATTAAATGGCTGACTTTCATGGCCTCAAGCTGCAGCAGTCAGACAGAGATGAGCTGGAAAAGCAAACGCACTTCTGCCCTGATTCAATATTTATTAGTCAGAGGAACTAAATTATTTTTCTCAGCTCACCGGGATTTTCATTCATGAATCATACGAAACTTTATGCAGTGAAGGGTAAACAGAACAAGTTTGTCATTTGGAGGGTTTGTGTGTGTTCCCCGATGGTCCCTGGATCATCATTCTCACTCCTGTCTTGTCTCAACCTGAAACCTGGCAGGTTGTGACTGTGCACAGAAGGGTAATACATTCCAAGCATACCATGGGGTCAGGGGACTGGAAGAGCCAATAGGTGGCCAGCTGACTGCCCAGTCCCTCCTCCCTGCCACAAGAGAGAACACAAAAAGCCTTCTCAGGCAAAAATCTCTGAGACCTGAAATTGGTGATTCAAAGAGAGAGAGGGAGAGGGAGCGGGGAGGTGAATACCCACTACAAATTGGCCTCAGGTAGCTTTAAGATTATTCAGGTGCAGCCATTCCCCAACAAGAAGCAATGTTGCGGTCTTCTAATTGGACATGGAACCCCCCCTCGGTTCAAGATACATTTTATAAATTGCCTCAGCTCAGCCAAAATACACTGCTGGTTTCAGACTAATTGGATAATAGACTACATCTTAGAAGGGTTAAGTAAAAACTTTATTGCAGAAGGGGGAGTGAAAAACCCCTCTGTCTTGACTTTTATCCTGAACTCCGTCTGACTCATGCATGCAGAAAGAACGGCCACTTGAAACACTGCACATGTCACGACTGGTTTATTAGCCCAGTTCTTGCATTTTTCAAATATTCACAGTTGTTCAGCGATGAGAAAACATGTCGCTAACAGCTCTGTGGTGCAGTCAGACAGATCTGGGGGCCACAAAAGAAATCCAGACAACAAAGAGGAAACAGACAAGACTGTAAAACCAACCCCAGCTCAAACATGGGAGACAACATCAGTATATATTGTTATGCATCTTTACAGAATCACAGAGTATGTACACGACGAGGCCTCGGAGCTGGAAGTCTGTGAGCACTGGTGGCTCGCTATCTGCCTCTGCCTGTCTGCCAGATAGAGAGAAAAAGGAGATTCCACTGTCGACAACAAAACATTTCACGAGAAGAATGGCCTGTCTAATGAGCTGATAACAAGAAGAGAATTCATTTACCAAGAAAATCTGAGTAAATTGGAGAATTCCTGGTGCAGGTGTGGAGTCCAAACACTGACCTCATGGGATGTAGACTATGGGTACCAGCTTGCCTTTGGTCATGCATTTCACTTTGTGCTATTCATGCATTGCAATATTCAAAATACCCTTCTGTATGGGAAACAATGAGATAGCAAATTACTAAAGTTTTGCAGAAGGTTTAGATCATAAAATCTAGCAGCCATGCAAATTTTTAAAGTGAATTTTCCACTTCAATGGCAGATCTTTTCGCTGTGCATGCAAATGTTTCACCAGAATAATTCCCCTGCCTCTATTTCGAGGGAACGCTGCAAATGCATCCTGTTGTCTCGCCCAATCAGACAACTGTGATTGGTTTAAGCAATACAAGCACGCTACTTCTCTCTCTCTCTCACAGCTTGAAAAACAACAATATAGTTTTTCAGTTTGGGGAACACTACTTGCTTTCTTGCTGAATGTTAGATATGAAAACTGATGTTATTAGAATGTGCACACGCAAGCCTAAATATGAACAACCAGACAGGAGCAGCTTAACTTAGCTTGCCATAAAAGCTGCAACGAGGGGCAATTAGCTCGTCTTTTGTTGCAATTTGTGAGCTTTGGAGTTGCTGGTAGCTAGACTTTGATAGCCTGGCTCTTCCTGTTTCTATATTTACAGCTACAGATATCAGTGTTCTCATTTACTGCAAGAAAGCGATGAAAGTTATCAAATGAAGCCATGATCATCGGATTAAAACAAAAAAACAGCAAACCGTGAATTTAACCATCAACCCTGCAGACCTTATTGACCTTGACATGCTTAATGCGTTTTCTACATCATTTGAACATCATAGTCGCCCCATATTAGTTTGAAAATATAACAAAATCAGATCGACCAGGTCAGTCTAACTAAGCACAAATTTGCTTCAACCGATGAGTCTTTTCACGACCTCCAAGTCCCTACAGGCCACCAGTCTCATTATCACGGCCATGTGGTCCTCTACTTGGGTTTCAGACTGTCGATGGCGACGCCATCCCTCTGGGGACAAAGCCAAGATGGCACATTGATCATATGTCAGCTGGACACTGCTATCCACTTTACCGACTGGGGAAATCTCTGTAATGCACATCAACCCGCCACTTTGCAGAGATTAGGCTGATAAACCTTACATTCTGATTCACTTCACTGCTGCTGACAAGACAGAGGAAGTGAGCTTTGGGTTTGCAATTTTCTTCCTGCCTTACTCTTCAAAGCAGAACGAGGACACAGATAACAGCATGTTATGAGCATGCTGTGTGATCGTGGATGCGGAAGGATGAAGGGGCCACTGTAATCTGCCGAGTGAAATCCTACACTAAACAATGATAGAGCTTTCATTAAAGACGCTGTAGAGGAAGACAGGAAAGATGTGTCACACACGTTCATGTCCTTGAACATCAACTAGGCACTAAGCATTTACATTCATGTAAATTCTTTCAAGCACTGTTGACTCCACATATGTCTTAGTGGCTCCCGACAGTGTTAGAGGCCAATAAACACATTTATTAGAAAACACACTTCTGTCTGGCTCAAACATCATAAAGGAATGTCTTAAAATCAACTTGTTTTTTCTAGTTTGCTGAATGTAAATAGAGATTTTTTTTCTCATTTTTAGTTAATGAGTTTTTATTTTGATGCCATTTAAGAACTTAGAAGTACGAGTTCTTACAACTTGAGCCATTTTGACTTAAAAGGATGAATTAAATGAATGAGCAGCTGAGAGTTCACTCAACTCCTTCAATTAAGTTTGTATGAAACAAGACCGGCGCATAATCAGACTTCCCAGGATGCACTGTTCGAGAGTTAAAACTCCCCAGAGACTCTTGTTTCTTGCATTTCGAGAAGAAAGACTTGGTGGAAACTTGCTTTGTGTCTTTGTTTAAATTAAGTTATTGCTGTTTCTTTTCATAATAATCGAAGCAAATTTAAGCATGACAAAGATTACTACTGACTTCAGCTAGACTTTGTCCCACTGAGCATCCTCACAGACTGTATTTATATAGACTCTGCAGCTCTAAGCTTTCAATGTTAAAAGAAGAAGAAACTCTTTAAACTCAGAAAATGTACAAGAAAACAAGACTGTCTCAAACTATAGAATGACTAGTTGATTCAACTTAAAATCTTAAGTTTATTGAACTTGTTTTCTCAAGTTCAGGTAACTCAATTTAACTAGTTTTGAGATGACTGATCAAATTAATCAACCAAGGTGCAGTTAACAAGTCAACAGGAGAACTTCTACGCTGAATGAAATCCATTTACATTTAACACCTCTCACATTACAAATGCTGAATATATGAATATACAACTACTTCTCATTTCAAAAGTTAAATTTCTGCTCCCAAGGTGTCTCCTACATCACTGAAAGTTCACTGTATCTATTTGTAGATGAATACAGTTAATGATCCAATTCAATCCCACCTGAGTACGTTGTCTGTTGAACCAGAACTGGCTTCCAAACTAGTAATGTGGTGTCACAAATCTTGTTCACACATTAAGCTTAAAATCCCCCCTTTAAGCTCAGAGAAGCTTTCCAGTCTCATGGAGATGCAGTTAAAAACAGTTGTCCAGTGGCAAACTCTGTATACTACATGCAAGTGAGGCACCACTGATCAAAACATGTGTTTGTGTTGGTGGTGGGTGGGGGTGGATAAAAGAATAAAGGACACTTGTTGCATTGGAATCACTTTAGACGCAGCTCCTGCTCCGTACAGTTCACCTGGTCCAGATGTTTCACTTGAAACAAGGCAGGTGTGATTAAATGTTAATCTCATTTATCCATTGTTAGCAGCAAGACATGGTCAGGTGATTGCTGCAATGACTGTAAGGCTGTAAGATCCAGGCTGGAACAGACATATGTCAGCTAAAAACAACAGAAATGGAGAATCTGTGAGCAAGAATAAGGGCTGTGATAGATTATAATAAGGCCTTTTTGTGGACAACATATTCTAACAGCTCACATGTCTGAGCTCTTATATGGCAGGTTTCCACAGGTTGAGTCAAATGCACTTCACTTAGAGCTGAGAAACATGCAAAATACCTGTTAAATATTTCTGGAAAATGTGTCTCTGATGGTAGGCCTACATAAATCTACAGCAGTTTAAACCTGCACTTGACTGTCCAGCAGGTTGTTCCACTGAGAGGAGCCACAAAAAAAGGCAGTATGAGATGTAAAGAGACTCTCTGGTGCACTTTATAAACGGGCGACAGGTGTTAAACGCACTGCTGGAGCCTCCATAGCGTCACCGCCGGGATTTTGTGTGTGTGTGTGTGTGTGTACAATGCGCTTCTCCAAGGCGCACAAAAAAAAGCTGTGCGTCGTAAGGTGTGCGTAACCTGCTCGACATCCTCTAAACATTTTCTGAAACATGCACACGCCATAACTTACAGGTATTTTCTGGAGCCTTCCGTCTGCTGATGCAAAGCCACCGAGAATCCAAACAGGCTTCCTTTGGTTTTTCCCTCTTTGATCACCGGGAAGCGTTCATCGATATTAAATCCACTGCAGGTTTGCGTCCCGTGGTACGCGCACAAAACAGCGCAGAATAATAGTCTCGGAGACATGTTTGGGTTGTTTTTTGTTTTTTTTCTTCTTCTCCCCTTCACAAGTGCAGTCGGGCTTCCACGATCAGCGTGGGTCCGGCCACGGCTCTCTCTCTCTCTCTCTCTCCTCTCCAACAGGTAGCTGCTGCTCACTGAGACCTCCCCATGGAGAGCCGCCTGTCCCCGCTGCGCACTCCGTGTCACTGCCTAGGTGTCGGTGTCTGCCTCCCTCCGTCTCTCTCTCTCTCTCTCTCTCTGCCCTCCCTGATCTCCCTCCCTTTCTCTCTGCTCTCCTCACCCATCTGAAACAAGTGCATTCACACTCTGCAAGACTGCGGTTACAAGTATAAAATCTCCCTTTTCCTCTCTGTCTGTTTTCACTTTGACTCATTTGGTTTCGACTGATACAAATAAATCACTCACTGAATCTCCAAGCTCATTTGAGGAAATGACTGGCAGTACATAGAAAACAATACTATAATGCTGGGACTCTTGTTTCAAAAATCTAAATTTCCTCATGCATTGAAACAGCAGCATGATGTGTTCAGTTGTATGAAACTTATTGCTTGATGTCAGATAATAGTTCTCTTTCTAGTTTTGAGCCAACATGTCCAGTTTATTAACAGTTAAGTGGGCTCATTATGGAAATTCTTTCAGTCAGCACAGGTTTATGTTATAAGCATCATTATCATAAGACTTTATGAAATGTCAGGACCCTGCTGTGATTGATTATGAATTTTCTGTTTTCTGAAGTTGCGATCATTGATCGGTTAATCAGTCATTTATTGGTAGCTGTTAAATTAATTGGCATCTATTTTGATTGTGGCTGAAAGTCTCTGATTCCAGCTTCTTAAATTTTTTCTATTTTTTGTTATCTTGACTCCTCTGTGACAGTAAACTGAATGACTTTGGGTTGTGGGATGTCATAGTTGGCTTTGAGAAACACTGATCAACACTTTCTGGTATTTTTTGGACCAAACACCCAATCGATCACTGGGGGAAATAATTGATTGATTAGTTGGCAATGAAAATAGTTGTTATTTGCAGCCTTAAACTCAGTTTCATTGCACCTTTTGCTCTCGCAAAACTGGGTTTGACTTCACATCAAACATTAGATGCAGCATCAGGATACTGTTGGATATTGTGATCTGAATTTGCTGTTTACACCTCTCAGAAATCTTAAACACTTCTAAAGCTCCAGTGATTTATTGATTAATCGGTTTATTTTTAACTATTATTAAAAGTCAATGATTCTGATTTAGGAATAAAAACTCCCTCAGACTCTAAAATGTGAATATTTTGCAGTTTCTTTTCTCCTCTGTGACAGTAAACTGTATAATCTTTAGGTTGTGGGACATCATTTTAGGCTTTTGGAAACACTGAATAATATTATTCACTACTTTATGACATTTTTTCAGGCCCAAAAACTGATTGAGTCATTGAGAACACAATTTGCAGATTATTTGACGATTAAATTATTGTTATTCACAGACTTAAACTCAGCTTCATTGCTTTTATCACCTTCACCAAAGGCCAGAAACGATTTTTAACTAAATTATCTGGGTTTTAACTGCATTAGCGAGATATTTTGAGGCTGAGGGACTCTGGGAGTGAGTCCTCTTGAACTCCTCCAAGCTAATAGACGCATGGCCCGTCCTCACATGAGCGCTCTTGTGACAGCCACCCTCTGCCTTGCTCCACTGCCTATTGCTCAAACTTCTGGACCCCAATAGGCAGTTCATTAAACCCTTAATCCCTTTAGAGAGTTCATGGAACAGGCCAGAGTTTTTTAAGTATCCTTTCCTTCTCTTGAATCCCCTCCCCACCACCCCTGGTCCTCTTTTTTTCCCCCCCCATCTTTCTTTGGAACCTTTGGTGTCAAGAGACCAACTGCAGCTCCATCTCTTGCCCTACTTCTCTGTAGCTCCATCGAAGAACGTGATCTTTCATCATGTGTGCTTTATTGGCTGACTCCTGGCTAAAATCCGGCGTCTCTGACCTCCTCTAATTGATGAGCTGAGCTCCCACTCTGCATCTCCTCACGCTCCAGGAGTTTCTCTCACCCAGAGGTAATCTCTCCTTCATCCCCAGTAAAATAAAGCCCTATGGGGATTGTAGTTCACTGTTCACATTCCACAGGCCAAACTGCAGAAGCTTTCGCTGTTCATCACGAAACAGTCTCAGGTACTTAGTAGAGGATTTCATGCTCTTGGATGCATTCTGCTCAGGTGCTGTATTTCAAAATGTTAATACTGTTTGCTACTCACAGGTCCTTATTTATGTGCACGTTCTGTGTCAGATAGTGAAAGCCTCCATAACTGCATATATGTATGGAACAAAACACAGAAAACTCAACAGGTTAAGCTGCATTCCATGCGTTGTAATGTAACATCAAATCTGCCTCATATATCTTTGTTGGAGGCCACATGTCTGACAGTCTTCACCACTGAACTGAGTACCTTTGCACACGTTTCATTTTCATTGTTAATCCAAGCTTAAAAGCTTTGTATTTACAATTTCGCATTATCTAGAGAGTGAATTTCATTCTAAAAGGTGAGTGCACAACATGCCAGTGTATAGTGTCAACATCCTGTTGTGACCTTATCAAGGCATGCATCTGGCACCAGCACTGACATTAAACAGATCCATGTAAATAAAGAGCTTGAGTGCCCCGACTTGGCAGACGACAGCCATCCTGAGAAAGAAATGAGCAGAGAGGAATTTAAAGCAACCACAGAACAATAGAGGAGCAATCTGACCTCCCCCTTTATTTTGGATTATTATGCCGCAGATCCTATACATTTCCTGAAAGGGCTGGAGAGCACCTGATCCTTAACCCCTTTAGGTCTTAGACACACCCTTTAAACATCTGAAAAGTGTCACTCTGGTAAAGTGACAGATGATACTGACAAACTCTGTCCCACTGTATCAGCACAAAAACATACACTCTTGCATTAGGTGTGTAATTGCACTGACAGCCGGCTGTAAATCACTGTTGTGACTCTGCCTCTATTCATGCTTGAGTAATGCAAATTTAAAAAGCACAAAAAACTGTATCTGATAACTTCTGGCACAAGAGAATTGAGTTCACTTTCAGTCCCTGCCCAGAGTTACAGCAAAGGAAAAAAAAAAAAAAAAGCGAGTTCCGGCCTTTAAATGCGTATTCCCCGGGCCCAACTGTAAGCCAACACCAGTCTCTGAGAGCCACAGAGACAAAGACCCGAATGCAGTTGCTGCTGCCCCCAGAGTCCCCTGCTCTGGAGCCCTTAACCCACACAACACACATGGAATGTAATTTGCAATTTATGTCCCAGTTTCCTGTTTTTTTTTCTCACCAAACCAACCACCATCCCCTCCCCCATCACCATACTGCCCCCCACCCAAAAAAAAAAAGAAAGACTTCACCCCTTCCTCTACTTCTCATGATTCCAATGTTTGTTTTGCTGCCTCATAATATCCATTTAATTGAGTGGGTTAGGCCTATGTACTTCTTCTTGCTCTGCTTTGTGGTTTGTCGTACATCCCGAATGGCTCCGCAAAGTCCTCTGAAGGCATCCTTTGAAACGGGCTGATGGGATGGGGTGGGTGGGTGGATGCTATGTGGAGTTCCTGATGTGAATGTGTGATAATAGAAATGGACTGGCCATTGTAGACTGAGTGCATCATAATAGTCCCATTACACATAATCTCTCAGACTTGTTACTGTACTTGCACAGTAGGCAGTGACTTGGAATAGGCTCGACTGTACAGTGTAGTCTTGCAAGAATGAAAATGAGAGATTTTTATTTTTATACAGCATCCTCAGAAAGACTAGATGTTGCATTTCTATGAATATTAATCCACATTAGCTAGACCGGGGAACAGAACATACAGAGCAGGACATTGGCTGAATATGAAACACAGCACGCTCTCACGCCGAGTCCTCGCTGCACGGTGACGGCCGAGCTGCCCGTTGCCATGGAGCTGGGAGTTGCTATGAAGCCAGTATGTTCTGAGTGGTGGTAGTGTCTGTGGAAGACAGTGTGGTCTGTTTAAACTCCAGCCAGGACTCTCACTGGGCTCAAATGACCTTTCACAGGAATTAAACATAATCTACTCAGCCCTGTCCACTAAACCAGGAATCTGCCACAGAAACCTACATGTATTTATGCACACGTACTACACAAATAGCAGGCAGCCGCATTACAGTGCCAAACGTATTGTGCTGCTGCGGCGATAACGTTAGCGCCTCGGCTGCTCCTCGGCACTTTGCTGAATTGCAGAATGTCGAGTGAACTTTTGCACTCCCCATGGAGACAAAAGACAATGAACTCCATATTTTCTTGCTGTAACTTAAGTTAGTGGCTGGCACAAATGAAACCTAATTTTAGAAGAAGATATGAATAATGCATCAGCAAGATCTAATAATATGTCATTTAGTTCCATAAGCTTTTCCAGCCCTTTGTCTCAGCAGTCAGTATCGCACCAATGCAGAATAGTCCATAATGAGGGCACAGCCATATCGCTGCTCAGAGATGTTTGCAACAGCAAGGAAACAAGTGACACTGGCTAAGCTGCCAATAAGTTTTGGTATGAAGGGAGGAACAATTCAGTCATCTAATATGTTTCCTCCAAAACACCACAGCGTGTGAAGTTCTTGTATCAGTTACAAGCTCATTTTTACATAAACTTTGGGCTTCAGCTCCACATAACAGAGGATGGAATTGCAATTACAGCCACAATTGGACCACATTCTGTATGTTTGTACTAAATATATACCATGGAACAACTGGTCTGAGCATTTCATCTTCTTTGTTCTTCATTTAGGGGTGGGAGTGTGGAGGTTGAGGGTTTGCATATGTGCAGTGTACACATGTGTGTGTATGTGTGTCTATGGATGGAAATATGTGAGAGCTGTTGCTCACATTTGTTCATCTGAGTGTGGGGGCTGCATGTCAGCATCCATATGTGTGTGTCTTCTGAGTGTTTGGTGTATGAGTGTGTGGCAGGAAGGAAATGCAGCAGGGGTTTGGGACCCACGCAAGGTCTTGCTGTTTTTCAGGTCTCCAGTTCGTGCTTAAGTGTAGGAATGTATAGCCTGAGGAGGAAGGCGTGGTTCCGAACACTCTCCCACTGTCCAGTGGCACCTGTTTTTCAGCTTAGCTTTCAGATAGAATGATGGGAGACAGCGGCACGGAGGGACTATGTTGTGGAAACAAAACAGCTGTTACACA